TGCTCCATCCCGACGCTACGCAGGACTTTTACTGCAATTGCTGCTCCCAGGTTCCAGGAGTACCTGTGATACCAGGCACCAGAACTGAGAGCAGTTAGACTCTCTCTCCTGTGCTGTCTCTGCTGTGACACAGGCAGTTTGGAAGAGAGCGAGGAGATAAACTGACTTGAGTGCAGCAGGGTAAGGAATAGGGTGCTGGAGGGGAAGAGATGCAAAGTGTGGGGACAAGGGCAGGACCTCTGGCTGGGAGGATGGATCAGAGCCTAGGAAGGAACAGAGTTAGGAGCAGGAGCCAGGAGAGAGGGTACAGGCACAAGAGCCGGGGGGGGAGGGGGGACGACAATAACGAGGGTCATGGGAGTAGGAACAAGAGGTAGGAGAGAGAGGCAGAAGCTGGGCTGGGGGAGGGCAAGATGGGCAGGGTCAAGATTGAGGCAGAGGGAGAAAGAAGCAGAGGCGACAGAGAGGTCTGTAATCACTTGAGTGTACTCTCCTAAAGAACCTGTAATTAAACCCATTATTCTGGAGTCTTGACATTCCTATGATGTCTAGTAAATAGCTCTAAAACCCACTGGCAAAGCATGTGACTCCATGCCACTCTAGTGGCAGGTCTGCTTAGAAGAAAACAGCCATCTATTGCTACCAGTTACTGTTGGGCTGAAGTGGTAGAGGACTGTGCTGTGGATCTAAATATCCCAATCATGGTGATGACCCACGTGTGGGAGTCAATATGATACCACAGGATGACATTTTTATCTTTCAGTTTTTAAGTTTTTTAAAAACTTGGGAAATTACATCCAAACAGCAATGTTCATTCAGTTTGCAAAGGCAAGCCCTCAAATGTTAGGGGATGTCAGAATTAAGGTTGCCAGTGCAACCTTAATTCAGCCCTTTTGTGCATAGGCATAATGATGCTGTCTTTAAATACATGGTCGCCTACTCTTTTTTCCCACAGGCTTTTTATGATGTAATATCTATCTGTCTATCTATATAGATAGATAGATATATCTAAATACAGAGGTTACACACACACTTACATATAGTGCTGGTTTATTGTTATATTTATTTCTCTGACAGTGACACCTAAATTCCAGGGCCCCATTGTACTAGATACTGTACAAAAATAACAAAGACCCAGTCTCTGCCCTGAAGAGCTTAGGGTTGATTTTTTGTTCTGTCTAAGCTACTGTTGATGTAGGAACAGAGGAGGTGAGGCCAAAAGTGACTTTGTTACCTTTTGTGCTTCCCCTATTCTGGGGCCAGCTTCAGGCCTTCTCAGCCTCCAGCATGCATTACATTTGGCTGCTTATGGTCCCTCAGAGCTGTTTCAGAAGCCTATAGTCAGAGTGCAGCAATGTGGAGGGGACATACCACACAATCTGGCCCATATTATACATGTATTTATTAACAACAAATAAGACATGGGACATTTCCTGGGAATTAAATACTGGCTGGGGGGAGTTCAGGAACCATCCACCACCAGTTATTAATTCCCACGAAATGCCCTGCACTATTGCATTACTGCCTTGATAAGAGGAAAATAGGGCTATGGATGTGTGTGTGTGTGTATATATGTGTGTGTGTGTGTGTGTGTGTGTGTGTGTGTGTGTGTGTGTGTGTGTGTGTGTGTGTGTGTGTGTGTGTGT